TGCCATTGTCACTAGAAATTATATATTATTATTATTTATTTTTTTTTCCTTTCCGGGACACCCCATTGTGGCACAATTTCTGTGAGCAGAGCTTTCACCACCGCGTTGCTCGTGGCGTGTTTACATGCAAATACTTCAGTCCATTTGGACCAGAGATCCACCAGAACCAGACAGACAGTATTTCTTACCTTGGCATGGTGCGATGGGGCGGGGCATGGGCAGCCTAAGGAATAATTTGGAACTTACCCGGGTTCTGTGCCAAAGGTTTGGCAGAACCTCAATTGTGTGTAATTTAAGTTACACATCCCTCCTTTTCAGGCATGGTCTCGGCCATGTGCTAAAGGCACAAAGTCTCTGAAGAAATGCTGTGGCAAACCCGGTTTGAGGTTTACCCAGCAACCCACCAAGGCCATTTTTCGCCCACAGCTCCATCTCGTCTGGAGTAGCCAGTGCCTGCATATGGGCAGAGGCAGGTATGCCTTGTCTGCCTTGTCTGCATTTGCCCGCTGCCTGCTCACGAGCCCCAGCGACCGCGACCAGCTTGTGCTGAATGGTGTTTGGGCAAACAATATAAAAATCAGAACACACAACATAACAGACTCGGTTGTAAAATTGTCGACACTCGTATGTTCTCACACTTCCAGCAGCCGGTCTGTACCTGTGGAATCCTGCTCCAAAAGAAACAGCAACGGTTCGTTAGTTTCAAGTTATTCAAATGAAACAATGGTGTGTTATGTGTCAGTTTGTTAGTGGTTAGTTGTCATTAAATGCACTGCTCAGCCTGTTGAAAAAAAGGAAAAGCAAGAATCTATCCAGAATTTATCCAGCGGACACAGTTATCCTGTGTCCGCTGCGGGTCGTGTTTGTGGTCATATGCCTGTAAATAAATGACCAGAAACGCACATCAAATATACACACACACACAACGATCAACTGGGACACACAATGACATCAACACAAACACAAACGCTTGCGCAGTAAGTTGTCAGGTCAGGTCAGAAAGTCATTGTAAAAAAAAAAAAAAAAAAAAAAAAATGTTTGTTCAGGCCATCAAATTTCATATCTTTTCATATCTTTCAGCCCAGAATTTGTTGAGCGCTCTTATTTTGAAAGCGTGATCGTCTTTCACCCATCCGTTCCACTAGTGGAGAAAAATAAGACACCACCGCAGTGCAAAAAGGAAAAATAAATAAATCAAAATGTCAAAAACCACAACCCCAAAACTACGTAAAAAGTAAATTCAAAAGCATTAAAACAATAAGGACCTGAGTGACCAACGTCATGCACTATTGTGATTGGCTTTTTGCCCCACAAGAGTGTGATAAAAATAAGTCCCATTTTGATTTCACCATGTTGATTGTTCATTCTTTGTTTAATTCAGTTTAGAAGATCAGCTTTGGCCAGCCAATTTAGAAAATAAAAAATTGTTTCAACCCTCTGATCATGTTGAATTTAGGTATGCATTTTGGCATCTGTCCATCAGATTATGAAACAGATCTCCGTTGGGATAAAATTGTAACCCTTCACACCGTTTGTTAGGGTTTATCTCTTTGTTTTTGTTTTTTGCTTTTATGCAAACTTGGTGGAGAGTCAAAGGCACTAAAACACAAGATTCAAACCAGCATGTAACTCCTTAATGTACGGTTTCATTCAACCCAAACAAGTGGCAAAAATCCAAAAAGCCACTCCAATTTTATCAGGCCTATTCAAAATCCTTCAGTGGGACCGTGTGCAGCCCCGGCGTGGTCGCTGCATACGGCGCTGGCAGCATGACCCCCGCCCCCCGTGGGGCTGAAGTGATGCTGTCAGGGCCAGAGCACACATTTCTTCCTGCGGCCAGAGAACCATAAAAAAAATAAAAAGGGCTTCTCCATGCGTTTGCATTTCTGGAGAACCACGAGTGTCCATCTTGGACCTGTGTCCAGCCTCCAGCACTGCTACACTTATTAATACATGCAGGGACCTCCCTCCACGCTGCAGACGTGGGTTCGGACAAAACTGTGTGCAAAGTGGAGCACAGTGGGTCGATAAACACGTTAGGTAATACCGCGGAGTCGTGCCTATCCCAATAAACGTACTCCGTTAGCCTATCTTCACTACACTGAAGCCATGAGTTTTGTGAAGCGACCACTCATTTGAGAAAGGACCAAAATCTGTCACCTTATGTTTTGTTTTTAACACAGGATTTGTTGTCCCTGAATCATCCAGAATTTTAACTTTTACACCACAGATTGTTAGCGTATATTACGGGAATTCAGCATGAATTATCTCTAAAAAGTGCCAATTGCAATTTGTTCTTGTTCAAACTTACGTGACATGAGCGGTCGCTTTGGTGACGAATGTGAACCCGGGTTTGATCAGTCGCTCGTGTTTCCTCCACGCCCGCCTCTGCCGTCCTCTAGCCCCGTGTGAGCTTGAGAGGTCCTCTGCCTTTAACGCCTCCTCCGGTAACAGTCCTTCGACACATGTCGAGCACACAGTCCTTCCGCCGGGCTGTGGAAAAGCTGCCGCCAGTCCGTGACACATGTTCCTGCGCGCTCCGCAGCACCGTAGTCCTGGCTCTGGCACCTATGGCTTAAGTTTCTCAAAGTCCGCAGGAGGCCCAGGTAGCCCAAAGCGTTCAAATAACGTTAGCCTGTGGTCCATGAGGGTTGGTTAATAACCAAACGTGCCGGTCCCAATGGCTTCTTCTGTTTGCGGTGCGGGGGCAACTTTCAACGGGGTTTCAGCGGGTGCGTTTGGTGTTTCACGCTGCCGCCTCCGTGGGGCAACAGTCACGGGATTTGGAGCAGTTTGTCTCTGGCCTCCAAAGCAGTTGTCGGTGTCTCACATAATGTGTCCACGGAGTGAGTCGTGAGCTTCGGTTTCCTGAGCGTGTATCTGCTTCCGCCGCTTCTTCTTCTGCTCCCGGGTTTGGGCCCACTTCTCGCGGGGTATCAGCTGGTGCGAGAGACTCTGTGAGTCGCCGCCGTGGTTGGGGCGTGGGGCTGGTGCTGGGGCTTTGAGGCGGAGGGCAGGGCGCGGAGGAAAGCGCCGACAGACCTGGACAGGGAGAGGAAAAAGGGGACAACAGTAGTCTGCTCATTTTTTAAAAACCCAACGCCTTGTTTGGGTGCGCACTTATTGTTAGTAGGGGAGTTTGGGGAATATTTCTCGGGGCTGATCGCCTTACGCGTTCGCCTGTGTGTTCTCCGCTTCGGTGAAAAGCGGAGGAGCTATTGTTTTTACATATTTCTTTCTCTAACGTCTTTTGCCATGATATTCTTAAAACCAAGTAATATTTCCCTTCCTTCTTCTAATTTTCACGCAAGACGCGTAATCGATTGAAGGACATAAAAAAAAACCTCCCTCCAGAAGATCCGAATGAGCAGCACATAATTTGCAACCGTTTTTCCATTGCCATTGTTACGGGACGTCTGAATCCCTTTCTAGTGTACTTCCCTCCATTTTCTCTTAAAGAACAAATGGATCTAGCCCGCTTAGTCTCTCCCTGCTCTTCCTCACTCTGGAGCGATCTGTTCCCCCCCCGTTAGTTCAATACACCTAACGGGCGCGCATTCTTGAAACGGACCGGGCCCGGCTGAAGGCACAAAGAGTTCAGGGTTGCTTACAGAGCAATACTAACACGCAGCCGCTAGCTTAAATCTCATACCCTACACAAATGGCAATGAACAAAATACCCCAAAATACGTAAATAAATCAAATACCCGTGTACACTTAAGCGCTGCCCTGGGCTTTACATGTTTGAAAAGACAAAACTCACCACAAATCAGGTTCTTTTTGGTCTTGTGTGGCCAAAGATTCTTTTCATGCGCCGGACGAGCGCGCCCTCCTTTCGTCTCCAAATAGAGCGGAGGCTGGTTTTGTTCCAGGTCGGCCGAACGCACCCGCTCGTCCCCGCCGAAAAAAACCCAGGCCAAGACATGCCAGCAACGCCAAACTGTCGTGGCAGTTTCTATCCATAGCAAGGAAAAAGCTGGAAAGGTATTTGTCTTAAATCAAAGATGTAAACACATTTATTTTACACATATATATGCGGAGAGCCGACGTACAGTCTTGCATCGTGAGCTCTGCCGGGGCACAGCTACTGTACCAATACATATACTCAGGAGGCGCACAGCAGGGCCCCAAAACCGTGACGTCACATGGGCTGAGATTATCATGCAAACATCACCTTTTGTTTTAGCGCAAGACACAGGAAGGCCTTTGTCTTAGGTGTGAAAGGAGCAGACAGCAGAGGCCTTTGCAAACTCAGCATGGCGTCAGACGGCCGTCTCTGCATTGATTAAAGGCCCAGTCGTCCGTGTATTTGCTGCGACTGGTTCTAATTTAATTACTCTAAAAACTGTCATTACACGTTCCACGTCCCAAGAGCCAGATGTTGTGTGTGCGGACTGGGTCGCCGAGGTCTCCGCCTTCGACCGCTGCCCAGTCCTCTCTGCACCGCTTCGCCACCATGGACCCCTCTGCGGATGGTGGGCCCACAGGAGGGACTGCCCACGTCGTCCATTCGGGCTGAGCCCGGCCGGGCCCCGTGGGCTAAGGCCCGGCCACCAGGCGCTCGCATACGAGCCCCGACCCCAGGCCTGGCTCCAGGGTGGGGCCCCGGCTGCGCTATGCCGGGCGACGTCACTGATCTCGTAATAGTGCTGTCCATGGTGTCTTCTGGACTGCTCTTTGTCTGACTCGTCACCTGAGACCTGTCTGCCATGGGAGGCCCTACCAGGGGCATGAAGCCCCAGACAGCTTAGCTCCCAGGATCATCCGAGTACTCAAACTCCCCCACCACGTTAAGGTGGCAGTCCAGGGGGGAGATTAATGAAGAGATACAACTTATTTCCAGGCTAGTTTTCCTTCATGAAGCTCATGTCACTTTGAACATTATAACATCGTGAAGCTTGAATCACAACGGAAATTGCAAATTGAATCACAATTGCAATGCTGAAAAATTTAAATTAGATACAGTATGTTTTACAATCTTTTTTTCTTTGTGTGAACAGATGGATACACCACCGACGACATTGTTTTCTTTTGGCAAGGAGGGGACAAAGCAGTGACCGGAGTGGACAAATTAGAGTTACCTCAGTTCTCCATCGTGGACATTCGTTTAGTCTCCAGAGAGGTCCGCTTTATCACAGGTAACCCCCCTAAATAAATGCATGTACAAACATATGTATGCAAACTGGTCAGGCCCTGGGTGAGCTGTGTCCACGGCTGATGTAGCATGAACGCTCTAGTATCGATTCTTTCAAAGATTTACAGGTTACTGGAGATGATGGGGTCATTAGTCACTGTGTTGCAAACAGATCTTCAGATTCAAATTATCCAGTTAATCTTAAAGTGAACGCCTGCTACTTTTCTAAATGTGAGGTTGGAGACGTGTTTTTCAAATGCAAGCACCAGTTAGGCCCGCCCTATGGAGGACTTTTTGTGTCATCAGATTTTACACTTTGAACCAGCTTGAATTGTTCCAGTTAACATTTTGAACCATGAAAAAGCTTGTTTGAATTGTTTTATCTTTTTATTTCAGTGACTAAAAAATTCAGACTACAAATTTTAATGTGATGAAAATTTCAAAGTGAAATATTCGCCTATGTTTTTTTTTGAGCCCTTAAATTCAATGCATTGTGACATTTTTTTCTCCAAATTTCAGTCACTAATCATCAATGTCAAAACATCATTTCAAACATCTAAATTCAACAAGAAATAATAAAATGGTGAAACAATTTGCATGACACGCACAAAATGTTCTATAGTGCTCTCGCAAAGTTCCTTATTTGACGCCAATCCATTCAAATCCTTGAAAAACAGCGGAGGCCCCTCACCATTGGCTGAAATGCTCTCCTCCAGCAATTATTTCTGGTGATGCTTATTCCAAAGGGAGGGACTGTTTCTAAATATGAAGAGTTCCTTTGCAAAAACAGATATCCCAGTTTTCTAAAATGTGTTAAAAAGCTGTGTTCATCTATCTAAAATCATCACCCTTTTGAAAAACTTATTCTTCTGTTGACAAAATAAGAATGCAAGCTGTTTTGTAGGATCAATACATATGTCCATTTGTACAGGTCGTGTTGCAGAGGAATAAAAAACAGTGAAATTTATCACATCAGAATTATGACAGTGCACTAAGGAATACCCTGTTCAATTATGTACCTAAATGCCCTTTTGCTAATGTTTAGAAGACAGCAAAAGTGCTAAAGAAAGAGCCAACAGCCCTGTGACAATTCTCCGAGGGACGCGCGAGCTGCCTGCTGAGATAGGGGCTTGCAGAAAAATGTGCAGTGTTTGCGACTTTGTGCCATGTTTAATTGGAATCGAACTTGTCCCTGGAAAGGAATCCATCGCTTTGGGGAAATTAAGTGCTCCTTCTGAACAAATGGAGAAATGAATACTCCATGCATTGTCAGAGTGCAGACTTTGGCACTCTTTAAGTTGTGCCAACGTTCTCTCTTCTGTCATTTTTTTTTTTAGCCTGATGTGATTTCAGCGCTCCACTCACAAACGGGGCCCCTCCTCTTTCCCACAGGTTCATATCCGAGGCTCTCGCTGAGTTTCCGTATCAAAAGGAACATCGGTTACTTCATCCTGCAGACGTACATGCCCTCCATTCTGATCACCATCCTGTCCTGGGTCTCCTTCTGGATAAACTACGATGCCTCTGCAGCTCGGGTGGCCCTGGGTACGTCACAAGGGATTTCTAACTTTGGTTCAGAGACCCGGTGTACACACCTTAAATGTATTTTAAATTCTACCCTATTGAGCCCAAACTGAGAAAAGTCATTCAGCCAAAGGACCAATGGAGAGCAGGACAGGATCAGCTGAGTTCTACTACCATCAGCAATATGTATAGGGTTGTGAGGGTTAATGTAGCATACTCAAGGTTAAATTATTCATACAATATCCACAGGTCAAGTTGATTTCACACAGCACTGTGAAATCCCCTCAGTTCACATACATTGCCTACAAAAAGCTGTCAATTGCAGCAGAAGTTCAGAGGACTTGAGTGCCATGGGTCTCTCAGAAAAAGGCCTTTGTCCGTAATTGGATCCGGGCCATGTTGTGGATTATTCCCAGACGTGACCGTATTGCTTTTCTTTGTGACCTGGAGACTGTAACCTCTGTGCCTCTGTGTCCCTGTGCCCAGGTGTGACTACGGTGCTTACCATGACAACCATTAACACCCACCTTAGGGAGACTCTCCCCAAGATCCCATACGTGAAAGCCATCGACGTCTACCTCATGGGCTGTTTTGTCTTTGTGTTCCTGGCCCTGCTTGAATATGCCTTCGTAAATTACGTGTTCTTTGGGCGGGGGCCTGCCCAACAGAAGAAACTCAGCGAAAGGCTGGGCAAATCCAACAACGAGCGCACAAGATATGAGGAGAAGCGCCTGAGGGAGCAGGTTTGCATTGCTGCGTCAACATTCAAGCACAGAACATGAGACTTTTACATGTCCATAGAACCACCAGCCACACTCCCACATATAGATCTCTGCAATCACCCAGCACTAGCTCATATGATGTTGTAAAAACACTCTAAAACCCCCATCCATTGCATCCCCCTCAAGCACCGAACACTGGCTTATAGTTTGTTTAGCTCAACAGTGGTGTTAACATTTTCATTTCTTATTTAGGTGGTCTCTGTTTATGCTGTAGGCTTCAGTCAGTCTGTCACCTTGTTTCCAGATATACATATTTATATATTTTAAATTGGACAGAGCCTCGATTAAAAAGGCAATTGCCGAAATCGTCTTAAAATGGTCAGACTGAATGAAGCCCTTGTTTTTCACATGTAAAGCACTAAATGCTATGCCCAGTCAATTTTTGCTCTTGTTAACTCTCTGTGTTATGCACTGTGAAATAATGAGGATGTGCTTGGCGTTTAATGTACTTTTCACTTTTTCTTTCACATCACTAGGACTCCATTTCCGTGCCGTATCAAACCAACACCTTCAGGTCATATACACAGCGAAGAAATCTGTATCTCGAGGAACAAAGAAAAGTTGGGGTACATGTATTTAGATATGATACTAGCAGTAGCCTCTCACAACAGAATTAGCTATTTGTATCGTTGATATTGCCTGCTTAAATTCTGTGGTAACTCTTTCTGTTGCATGCATCCCATACCATCCCTGTACCTGTGTAATATGAGTAGATGGGGTTAATCTAACTTCAGTCAAAGGGGAGGGGCTTCTCTCTGATGGTCCTCCCTCTTACACTGATGTCCCTTTCAGGTGGATGCCTACGGAAACATCCTCCTCACCACTCTGGAGATGAACAACGAGGTGATGCCCTCAGACGTGGGGAGCAGCGTCAGTGACTCTCGTAACTCCGTCATGTCCTTTGACAGTTCCGGGGTGCAGTTCCGGAAGCCCATGGCGCCCCGGGACGGGTTCAGCCACCACTCGCTGGACCGCACGGCCATGCGCAACAGGGCTAACTGTCGACTAAGGCGGCGCTCCTCCAAGCTCAAATTGAAAATTCCCAACCTGTCAGATGTTAGCACCATTGACAAATGGTCCCGGGTCATTTTCCCCATCACCTTTGGATTTTTCAACCTCATCTACTGGTTGTACTATGTGAATTGATGTGCATCCCACCAGGAATCACGGGCCATATTTTGAGAGCACATTAAATTGGCTTTGATACAGTTTGAAAATATGTATACACATATACAAGTTTAACATATGTATATGCATATTTCTATATATTATATTTCTATATTCACATGTGAAATCAGAAGGACCATTCTGCTGTATAAAGTATTAATAGGATGACTTGAATGTTTCAGAATATTTGTGAAAGAATAATTTGAAGACTTTGAGTTTCCTTTTCCTGCTGAAACAAACACAAGACCTCACCACCGTGGGGTTTTTGGAACTAAAGACTGCATGATATTTTTGCTAAAAGAGAAAAAAGAAAACTCCTGATGGAGAAAACGATGTCTCAGAATTGACTTTTTATGGATACTTCTTGTTCTCTTAAGTCCTCTACTGCAGCTCTGAAGTCATTGGTGGCTTTTCTGTTGAGGCATCAGCTGAGTGAGATCTCCGTCACCACAGTCACATGACCCATTACCCGCGGTTCACATGCACGGAAACCTCTACTTCTACTATGTACAGCAACCTTGTTTGGATTTCGTGTTGTTTTTGAAGTGATATTGCTCTTTATGGGACATCAGCTCTGGCCTTGTGGTCTCCATTTGAGGGCTTTGTGGATTCAACTGTGCCCAGAGTCAACGCAAACTTGTAATCCTTTTCTTCTTCTCATCTTCTGTTGACAACATGTCCTGGGGGTTACACATGGTCTAAAACAAAATGCTGAATATTGTAGATATATATTTTTTTCTTTAAGAATACTGTGATTAATGAGAGTGTCAGAACGTGTTCTAGCGCTAGGGCATTATTCGTTTAAAAAAAGATAAAAGTATGCATTCATAATTCTGATTATTCAAAAAATACATTCTCTACATTGGATCATTTAAGTATTTGTATTGCTTACTTCCACCTCTTGTTATGTACATTGTTTTGGTGCATTGGAGTCTTATCCTGCTTTTTGTTCAAAGAGAAAAACAGGGTTGGGGAGGGCAGTGTTTTTGTGATCAAAATGAGTGTGTTTATGAAACAAAACATATCAGCCCACTCTTGGACCAGAAGACAAATGGAAATGTTGTTGTTAGTGTTTTGTTTTTATTTTTTTATTTTTTTCATTGGTATTAATATATCATTTTTATTATATTTATTAATTTAACTAGAAGTGAGAAGGATAGTTCAAATTAGTTCCATAAAACAACCACTCTGGACCTATTCAAATCAGTGCAAACAGGAGGAATCCATGTGGGAAAAAAACACTATAAATAGCCATGAAACAACCGAAAGGCCTATAATCCATATGCACTGTTGTTTCTTTTCTACAACACACACAGGGCTCAGGTTCATAAACAGACCGACTGATTTAACAGAGAATATAGCTTAGTTCTAGAGACAAAGTGTAGTTTTTAGGTTAAACTTAGGTTCTGTATGTGCTCACCAAAGTCAAAGATGAACGGAAAAGCCTTACATGCTTTTCTCAAGCAGCATCACTTTAACCATTGTCATCGTCCCTTGACATCCAGTAGACAGCATGTTATTCACCGCAGCAGAAACATATGATCGGGTTGTCCCTGGGAAAATACATGATGGAGGATGGACGCAGAGCAAAGTCACGAGTTTAAGATTGGCCGACTTGCAGTATGGCAGAAATATTGTAAACTATAAAAATATATTCAAGAAATACACCTCACCTGAATTCTGTATGTAGCTGTTCATAACTTGAAACCAAATATATTATGATCATCAGAAAAAAGACGATCACAGAGGAAAGATTATTATTATTATGTAGACATTATTGGTGGAGGTGTTGTAGCATACATGAAATAAACATTGGAAAGTGGTGAGTGTAATTTCCAGACCAAAAAACACCTAAATGTTTTGGATTGGAAATGATGGTGAGAAGAGTATGAGAGAGTATATACTGTGGTGCATTCTTATAGATTCACATCGATTTACAGTGGTCCTGAATAATGTGAGAAAATGGGTTTAATGTTTTGCACTAAAATAAAATAATATATGTATATCATTAACATTAGAATATATTATTTATCATCATATAGATTATTATGAAACCATAAAGATATACCTGTAGTTTGTCATCATATTAGTTGTTGAAGTCATTCTCTATTCCTGTAAAGCCAACTCTATAGTTGGTTATGCAATGGCCTTGATTGCGTTTTTTTGCAGTGTATCTTTTTGTTTTAATAACAGTATTTGTAGCGCCTGAATCAGGACACTTTTTTAATTTAGAGTTTTTCAAAGCAAGAATAGGTGGAGGCTTGTACCAACGTGCTTTTCACATTTGTGTATTTCACTAGTTTAGATCATACTGTATGTAGGGAAACAAGAAATGTGGGTCTGACGCAGATTGCATCATTCCCTCCTCCCACGGGGCACAGCCACAACTTGTCAAAGTGTTCAAAGGCAATATGATGGATCTTCATCTGAATAGGGCCCAGGCCATGTCTTTTGTTCTTCTACAAGCAGAGCCCCAATACTGGAGCAGCTTTGACTTGAAGGGACATTAATTATCTATTGTGCCAAAAGGTTGTGTTTCGCAATGAATGGTTTTTATAATTCAGAATGGTTGGTTTATTGAAATCAATAAAAAAAACGAAAAAAAAAACAGCATATATAATATATTTATAATGACGGACGCAAGAGAAACACATTTGCAGCCCTTGCATGTTCACAATGAATACATCCACCTCATGTCACGCTGCAACACGTATTATGAGCTGAACACAGATCAGCACATTCATTCCCGAAGCTGTGAGGATAAATGTTTTATGCTTTATACTTAATATTTGCTTAAACAAGAGAAAATATATTTCATTTGAAGAGTAGAGGGAAAAAAAGTGTGGAACTGATTTCAATGTGAATTTCTTGCCTCTAGTGTATATGTGTAATTACATGTGAATTGTACTGTAAATATGATATCTTTCACTTAATAGTTCTAAATGCATGAACAAAAACAGGCAGTTTGTTATACCAGCTAGCATCACTGCTAATGGCATGAACAGCTTCTCTAGCATTGGCAAACATCTGCAAACAAAACCGGAAAAAATTAAACACGAGAAAAACACAGAGTGAACAAAATAATGAAGGGATCATGTGACGGCGGCCTCACAGTGATGCTTCTCCCCACACACTCCGTACACTTCTGTATTGAACAGTTTGCCTTGGTTCACTGTCAGCAGCTGGAGTGATGTCATTCAGAGTGAAATCTCAAAGTTATTTGACAAAAAACATGTTTACCTCAGCTATCATGCTACATGATGACATTAAGGGCATATCTTTGAGCAGGCAGAGGAGCAGGATAGCCTTAATAAGGGAGTGAGTAGTCTTTTCCTGTTCCTCAAAGAAGAAAAAATGTTACGTGTGTCCTTGAACACTCATGAGCAGTGTTACTGGGCAACCATGTGCTCAAGTGCAGCTGCTCCCTGGCCAACAATAGACGTCTCTATGAGGCTGCTTCAGGAAGTCAATATTTTAGTGCGCTATCGATCCAGAATCAATCTCTTGCTGACGTAAAGCACTGACCTCATATTAATGTTTGTGACAGAAAAATTTGCAATCAGCATTCAAATGATTCTTTCTGCATCAAGAGGCTGAACCACGATAAAACAATTAGAACCACATGCAGTTTTATAATCACAACTCATTCTTGTTTCAAATTGGATCTACTTTTTGCTGTCACCCACACCTTGTTACAAGTGTTTCTTTTTGGGCATGTCATTCAGGATCACACCACTCTAAAGATTATGCATAGCTGACTGAATGTGTGAACACAATTGTACTGGAGTGTAATAAATCAGTGGTGACACACTGACCAGATGTGAAAACACATCACTGTGGGGTTATGTTGGTGAATTCATTATTTTGTTAACCTTGTAGGTTTTGTTTTGCATGACCTAAGTTTGAAAAGGTTTATTTTACTGAAAGGTTTTTTTACTCACACCATCAGTGTCATCTCCATTGCCAGGAAAAGACAGATCCAGTGTTTACATGCTAAAATTGCACTTGTTTTACAGCCAGCTCTAAACCTTGTGTAACAAACTGTTGCTACAAACCAGAGGCCAAAAACATGTAAAGATGTATTCATGTAAACCACACAATTGGGATTGGGTGCACTGAGTGCATACTGTAGTCTATCAGGTTCTGCATAAGCATCAATCGCCCTCACTACAAAGGCTGGAGATGCTGTGCAGTAGAATCTGAACGTAAGCCATGATTGCACACTGAGTGGGTGTTCCTCCAATATCTGCTGCCTCTGGTCCTGCTCTTTGTCCATTATAGAAGCTGTGCTGATTCCTAGAAATACTGAGAGACGCAGACCATGGAGACTGTGTCTGCTCCAACCAATAACTCAAAAAGACTTCTGTTACAATGACAAATTAGGGGGAAAAAGAAAAAAATAAGAAAACAGCCTGTTTCTTTTGAAATATTAGAATATCTACTTTTCAGTCATTTCTGTGTTCATTTCTGATTTCTTGTAATGTTGGATTGTTCCTCTACTGTAGTTGTTGTTTTATCATGAGAAGGAAATGTGATTCATCTGATATGGCACTGGAAGAAAACTGCATTTGGTTTTGTACTGTACTTGTTTTGTTCACATTGGGCGCTTATTTGATTCAATTGTTTGATAAGATGTTTGATTTCATTTCGTACTCATGGAATCAACATTTGTGTAGTATAAAGTTGTATTATTTTTGTCAGTGCAAATTAATGTTATAGTGTCAATCAGCTTTTTTAGGTGTTTGAACAAAATGTGTTTTTTACAGATACAAAGTGTTCAAGTATGTGGTATAAAAAGGGTTCATTTAAACAGACTTTTTACAAATAAAGGCTTATACAGTGAAGGAAGCACGCAAGTCTTTTCATTTGCCTTTTGAGGACTAATATTAGTTGAGTTGCAGTTTTGATATATTTTTTACCATATTAGTCCGCAAAAGGTAAATCCTCACATAAAGTCAAACCAGGCGGTGCAGATCAGG